GTGGTTTTTCTAGGCAAATTTACGTCCAGTAGTTTGCCATTGCTTCTGGACGGTCAGCTTTCTTGATACCACTATCGAAACCTATGCAAGGCGCATGGCCCGCAGCTGGATCGAACCCGGCATCCCGGCATTAAGACTATAACAGTGGTTGGTACTACTTAGTTGCCGTTAATGTCAAATGTATTGCGGTGTATACCAAACCTGACATTCCACTTTGAAGTAACTTTCGATTGGAGGAGCACACCGGAGAAGATACTAGCCTTATCCTAGGAAGTGGAAATGTTGCTTGAAAACTTCATGCTTTGGCAGGGAAGACCAGACCGGTAACCGTAGTTCACAGCTGGTTTATGAGGGAAGCTCCAACAGGCAGACTAAGCGCAGATGTTCTGATACAGCATGCTTTGTTCTGGACATATGTCTCTTACAATCCTGCTTAGGCTTGAGGAATGATACAGCAGGGACAGCACATGTTTGTGCGTGTCTCTACAGTACGGGCCAGGCTTCGTGTTGGGGAGAGGAGCAGTATTGCCACTTCTCTTTTAAAAAAAAAAAAAAAAACATCCAAAATGGAGTCAAAAAATACCTAAAAACATTTAAATTTGCTTGAAAACATCTAGAAAAAACATCCAAATGGAAAGAGTCACAAATTACATAGCAATTGATATGACTTACCCTATAGAATCATGTCCTCATCTTTACTGATGTCTGCCTCACAAGATCCACAGGATAAATTTAGCTTGGATGAAGAAGTTAAAGCTTCAGATCCAAAATGACTCTGGTATGCTTTAGCTGTTCCAATTTCTTTTAATACCCAATCAGGGAGCTGATAAGTGGAACAACCTTTTCCTACTGTTATCAGGCCGAATTTTATTGTCAAGATAGCATTTAAGAGGTCAAATTTCATCCTGTTTTGATAAATCACGGCCTTCTCTATTTAATATTAGAGAAGGCAGTGGATAAATTCACTCCAATGAAAAAAAAAACTATTAGAAAAACATCTACCATCTAAACTTCACAAACGCTATGGTGCCATTTCAATGGTTTAAAATGAATTCTGTCCATATTCCATAGTTGTGGATTTCAAGCTGTACGATAGACATGGCCAATAAGACATCTCTTTTTGGGGGTGCCTAGTTGATCATGTTCTTAGTGCACTTGTATCCATGGCGAGGCGCAGACGCCGTCTGGAGGTGACAGGTTCAATTCCCGGCACGGTAACTATAGCTTTCGATTTATATGTTGTCTAGTGTGTTCTTCTATCTTTCTACTTCTTTCTATGAGTGCCGATCAATACACTGATTAACTGATTAAATCTAATTGCAAGGGAAAACATCTAAATCTGGATGTAAAACATCCAAAGTGGCAACACTGGAGAGGAGGTGCTTCATCCCTGGCAGTAATTGGTCAACGACAGGTTTCCATAGTTACAATCACCATGAGACTGTGATCAACAATGTGATTCACATAACCGTAACTCCCTCTAACACAGTTATCACTCTTATCATCTGAAAAGACAGAAAGGCACCAATAAATTAGTTAGTTGGCACCTTTCCCTTTCTGCCATTCCAGATGATAGTGTTATATCGTGCTATGAGGAGGCATGGGACTTACAGCCCATGGCGATGGCGAGTGTTACTAGCCAGACCCCACCCTCTTTAAGAAAAGTCTTACACAATTAGAGCATGAGATTTCAGGATCGCTGTTGTTGTCATGTGTATTTAGTGTTTTTTCTTATCAGATGCTCTTATCTCTTATCATTTCTTCCTTCATTCGAATTTCTTTCCTAATTAGCTCACTCCACACACCACAGACCATTGCATTTTGTTCCAAAAAGTCTATCTCATTGCCTGTATCATTCATGTCCCACTTGCACATATCTTTGTGACGTCTTTTATAATTATTATAGCCCTGTCATCCTGTCTTTCTCCCTCTGTGTATCCTTCTCTTCTGACATTCTCCGCTTGTCCTTCTCTCTGTGTGTTTGTCTCGGTATGCCCTTTCTTGAGTGCCAGTGTCAGAAAGAAATCAATAAACAAACATTGACAGCTCACACAAGACAGTAGTCTGTAATATTACCTCCCTTGACTGTCACCATCTCCTGGGACTAGAAGGGTGTGGGTTCAGATCTGCATGCGGCTGATTTACTTTCTCTCCAGAAATGATCTTGGCTAACAGGTTGATCCAGCCTAAAATGGGTACCAGGTAAAGTCATGGGAAGTAAAGGGTGACTGAAATTATCTGGACCACATCACCCAGTGACCTAAGGAGGCCTGAATGGCAAGGGAAGTTACTCTAATCCTGGAAACATGCACAGCACCTGTGCCTCTACTGGTTGTTCTTACACTTCAACCATATTCTTATGATCAAAGTTCTCTCTGTGAGTCTTGGACAGATTTAATAGTACTGGTGGTCTTCTTCTTCTTTTTCTTCGCTTTCACCGGCTGTAAGCTACTGCGGAAGGTTCTGGTTGTTTGTCCACTTCTGGACTTTAGTCTTGTTCCAGAACGTGAGTTTGCATCAAATATGCTTAACATTATTCTACAGCCCTACTCTGGCTCTTGCCAGGGGCCACATTATAGCCAGGCCATAAATACGGTCTAATGGCTGAACGCGGTTTCTGAGACCTCTCCACGGTAATCCTCATCCACATGGTGGCACATTGTGTCATCGGGTGTTTGTGTGATGTCCTGGTGGGATAGAAAGTCAGTCTGTCAATCTGCTCAACACTTCTGACTTTTTAGTATGCAGACTATTGGTTCCTTGCCTCTCAGGTAAATGCACTCTGACATTGAAGAAAACCCCTAAATAGTCAACTCTTGTGACATGCTTGTTAGTGAGACAGTGGGTCTATTCTTGTTTTCCCCCAGCAGGGGGCTTCAGAATTCACACGAGGTGGGTACATTTGAAAATAATCATCATGTACATTTTGAAGCAGTCATTATGTACATTTGAAAGTAATCATTCATTATGTATATTTGAAAATAATCTTTATGTACAATTTAAAATAATCATATACATTTGAAAACAATCATTATGCACATTTGAAAATAATCATTATGTACATTTTAAAATAGTCATTATTTACATTTTAAAATAGTCAAATACATTTGAAAATAATCATTATGTAGATTTGAAAATCCCTATCGGAACCGGACTTTTTTCAAAAATGACCTTGGCTCCCAGGTTGACCCAACCTTGAGTTGGTACCGATTGCAGTCACGGTAAGTAAAGGCAGCCGGCATGATGCTGACCACATCACCCATCTTGTGCCGATTGATCTATAAAATATAGGTCTAGCCCTATATGCCCTATAGGCCTAAAGGCGTGGAAAAGGGTCCTTTACTTTTACATTTGAAAAAAATGGTTATGTACATTTGAACGTCATGTTAAACAATTCAGCCATGTTGTGACAACCACGTTACACAATTAAGCCATGTTGTGATGACCATGTTACACAATTGAACCATGTTGTGATGACCCAGTACACAATTCAGCCATGTTGTGATGACCACTTTACAATATTAAGCCATGTTGTGACGACCACGTTACACAATTCAGCCATCTTGTGATGACCACGTTACACAATTGAGCCATGTTGTGATGACCCTGTTACACAATAAAGCCATGTTGTGATGACCCTGTTACACAATAAAGCCATGTTGTGATGACCCTGTTACACAATAAAGCCATGTTGTGATGACCCTGTTACACAATAAAGCCATGTTGTGATGACCCTGTTACACAATAAAGCCATGTTGTGACGACCACGTTACACAATTAAGCCATGTTGTGATGACCCTGTTACACAATAAAGCCATGTTGTGATGACCCTGTTACACAATAAAGCCATGTTGTGATGACCCTGTTACACAATAAAGCCATGTTTTGTTGACCCTGTTACACAATAAAGCCATGTTGTGATGACCCTGTTACACAATTAAGCCATGTTGTGATGACCCTGTTACACAATAAAGCCATCTTGTGATGACCCTGTTACACAATAAAGCCATGTTGTGACGACCACGTTACACAATTAAGCCATGTTGTGATGACCCTGTTACACAATAAAGCCATCTTGTGATGACCCTGTTACACAATTAAGCCATCTTGTGATGACCCTGTTACACAATAAAGCCATCTTGTGATGACCCTGTTACACAATAAAGCCATGTTGTGATGACCCTGTTACACAATAAAGCCATCTTGTGATGACCCTGTTACACAATAAAGCCATCTTGTGATGACCCTGTTACACAATTAAGCCATCTTGTGATGACCCTGTTACACAATAAAGCCATGTTGTGATGACCCTGTTACACAATAAAGCCATGTTGTGATGACCCTGTTACACAATAAAGCCATGTTGTGATGACCCTGTTACACAATAAAGCCATGTTTTGTTGACCCTGTTACACAATAAAGCCATGTTGTGATGACCCTGTTACACAATAAAGCCATCTTGTGATGACCCTGTTACACAATAAAGCCATCTTGTGATGACCCTGTTACACAATTGAGCCATGTTGTGATGACCACGTTACACAATTGAGCCATGTTGTGATGACCACGTTACACAATTGAGCCATGTTGTGATGACCACGTTACACAATTGAGCCATGTTGTGATGACCACGTTACACAATTGAGCCATTTTGTGATGACCCTGTTACACAATTCAGCCATGTTGTGATGACCCTGTTACACAATTGAGCCATGTTGTGATGACCCTGTTACACAATTGAGCCATGTTGTGATGACCCTGTTACACAATTGAGCCATGTTGTGATGACCCTGTTACACAATTGAGCTATGTTGTGATGACCACGTTACACAATTGAGCCATGTTGTGATGACCACGTTACATAATTGAGCCATGTTGTGATGACCCTGTTACACAATTGAGCCATGTTGTGATGACCCTGTTACACAATTGAGCCATGTTGTGATGACCCTGTTACACAATAAAGCCATGTTGTGACGACCAGTACTTTGTGTTTGCAGGTGCTCGCCTGGTTTGAGGAACATGAAGAGCAAGTCACAGCCTTCGTGGAGCCCTTTGTCATTCTCACCATCTTGATTCTCAACGCTGTCGTGGGAGTGTGGCAGGTTAGTGTCGTTAGATGTGTGTTTGTCTGTGTGTGGAGGTGTGGCATGGTCAGTGTTGTTAGATGTGTGTTTGTGTGTGGGAGTGTGGCAGGCTAGTGTCGTTAGATGTGTGTTTGTATGTGTGTGGCAGGTCAGTGTCATTAGACGTGTGTTTGTCTGTGTGTAAGAGTGTGGCAGGTCAGTGTCATTAGATGTGTGTTTGTCTGTGTGTAAGAGTGTGGCAGGTCAGTGTCATTAGATGTGTGTTTGTCTGTGTGTGGGAGTGTGGCAAGTCGGTGTTGTTAGATGTGTGTTTGTCTGGGTGTATGAGTGTGGCAGGTCGGTGTTGTTAGATGTGTGTTTGTCTGTGTGTAGGAGTGTGGCAAGTCGGTGTTGTTAGATGTGTGTTTGTCTGTGTGTGGGGGTGTAGCAGGTCGGTGTTGTTAGATGTGTGTTTGTCTGTGTGTGGGAGTGGGGCAGGTCAGTGTTGTTAGATGTGTGTTTGTGTGTGGGAGTGTGGCAGGTCGGTGTTGTTAGATGTGTGTTTGTCTGTGTGTATGAGTGTAGAAGGTCGGTGTTGTTAGATGTGTGTTTGTCTGTGTGTATGAGTGTGGAAGGTCGGTGTTGTTAGATGTGTGTTTGTCTGTGTGTGGGAGTGTGGCAAGTCGGTGTTGTTAGATGTGTGTTTGTCTGTGTGTATGAGTGTGGCAGGTCGGTGTTGTTAGATGTGTGTTTGTCTGTGTGTGGGAGTGTGGCAAGTCGGTGTTGTTAGATGTGTGTTTGTCTGTGTGTGGGGGTGTAGCAGGTCGGTGTTGTTAGATGTGTGTTTGTCTGTGTGTGGGAGTGGGGCAGGTCAGTGTTGTTAGATGTGTGTTTGTGTGTGGGAGTGGGGCAGGTCAGTGTTGTTAAATGTGTGTTTGTCTGTGTGTGGGAGTGGGGCAGGTCAGTGTTGTTAGATGTGTGTTTGTCTGTGTGTGGGAGTGGGGAAGGTCAGTGTTGTTAGATGTGTGTTTGTCTGTGTGTGGGAGTGGGGCAGGTCAGTGTTGTTAGATGTGTGTTTGTCTGTGTGTGGGAGTGGGGCAGGTCAGTGTTGTTAGATGTGTGTTTGTTTGTGTGGTAGTGGGGCAGGTCAGTGTTGTTAGATGTGTGTTTGTTTGTGTGTGGGAGTGGGGCAGGTCAGTGTTGTTAGATGTGTGTTTGTCTGTGTGTGGGAGTGGGGCAGGTCAGTGTTGTTAGATGTGTGTTGTCTGTGTGTGGGAGTGGGCCAGGTCAGTGTTGTTAGATGTGTGTTTGTTTGTGTGTGAGAGTGGGGCAGGTCAGTGTTGTTAGATGTGTGTTTGTCTGTGTGTATGAGTGTGGAAGGTCGGTGTTGTTAGATGTGTGTTTGTTTGTGTGTGGGAGTGGGGCAGGTCAGTGTTGTTAGAAGCATGTTTTCTGACCCTACCTGTCTGTTTTCTGACCCTACCTGTCTGTTTTCTGACCCTACCTGTCTGTTTTCTGACCCTACCTGTCGGTTTTCTGACCCTACCTGTCTGTTTTCTGACCCTACCTGTCTGTTTTCTGACCCTACCTGTCTGTTCTCTGAGCCGCCATAGTGCAATGGCTACACACTGGCCTGCAGATCCAAAGGTCATGGGTTGACATTCGGACAGCTAGACTTTTTTTTTAAAATGACTTTGGCTCTCAAGTAGTCCTAACCTTGAATCTTCATCATCATGTAGCAAGTCCTTTGCAGAACGTTGCTCTCATCACGGTCTGCCTGAAAGAATCTTGGTCCCTCGCCAGCTTTCCTGCTTCATTTACTTTCATAATCAAGGAGTCACTTATATCCTGTGCCCATCTTCGTGTTAGTCGGCCCCTGGCACTCCTTCCTAGTACCATGATTTCTGCTATTATTTTTTCCAGTCTGCCATGGCGCTTGATATGACTGAAATATATCAGCTTCCGAGACAGGATGCTGTTTATTAGCCTATCTTCCTTGATGTTCAGATCTTTCAAGATGTCAGTATTTCTCCTTTTCTTTGTCTAAGATATTCTGAGAATCTTTCTATAGCAGCTCAAAAGCCCCTATTCTCTTTCTTAAGGACTAGGAGATAGTCCACGACTCACATCCGTTGTTGCTACAGGGAAGATGCATGCTCTCAAAATTCTAATTTTGATCTCCTTTCTGAATGGGTACCAGGTGCAATACTGGGAAGTCAAGCTGGCTGGTAAGATGCTGACCACATCACTCACTGATTGCCAGCTTGTCTATAAAATAATGGTCTAGCCCTATATGCCTAGTATGCCTGAAGGGGCGCAGAAGTGTCCTTTACTTTACTACCTGTCTGTGTGTGTGTGTGTGTGGGAGTGTGGCAAGTCACTGTTGTTTGTTACATATGTGCTTACAATCTTTTCTGTGTATTTGTGTTTGTCTGTTCGTTTATATGTGTGTGGGTGTGGCAGATCTGTGTTGTCAGAAACAAGTGTGTGGGAGTGTGGCAAGTCACTGTTGTTTGTTACATATGTGCTTACAGTCTTTTCTGTGTATTTGTGTTTGTCTGTTCGTTTATATGTGTGTGGGTGTGGCAGATCTGTGTTGTCAGTTAAGTCTTTACATGTTGTGTACGTATGTGAAAATATTAGTGTATGGGTGTGTGTCAGGTAAAACCTTCTTAAAAGTCTTTACCTGACTGTTTTTATGGTTCTGTGTGTATTAGTTTATGTGGGCGCCGTTTTTATGGTTCTGTGTGTATTAGTTTATGTGGACGGGTGTGCATATTTGTGGCAGAGTGTTATGCATACTAGTTTATGGATGTGTGCATATTTGTATGTTGGTGGTTGTGAAAATGTGTGTGCCAGTATGTGTAAAGTTAAGAAAGTAAAGATAAAGTCAGGAGATGCGAACCAGCGTCATTGCACACGGTTAGAAACCATAAGTGCTCTGCCACCAGTACGGACATCTGATAAGAAACTGTCCGCCTGTGTCGTCATCCGCATGCAACTCCGTAGCTACAGTGACGTTCCTTCATTTACCCCAGAGAGTTAGCTCTGGTACCCATTACCTAGAGGCAGGGTGAACCCCAGGAACCCCCGGTTTCTAACACTGGCCGTGACCTGCAATGAGTCACAGCTGAATTTGAAAGGTAGTCTTCTATCGGCTGCGCTAATGCGGCTCCTGATGAGTGTATGAGTGCATATGGTATGTATGCATGTTTGTATGTGGGTATGAATAAGTAAAACAAGATAGCTAGGCACAGTCTACAATTAGAAGTCTACAATTATGTTCACACCACACTGCTCTTCTCAGAAATATCATTTAGAATAGCACTGGCATCTAGTGCCTTCAATAAACTGTCTAACATCTGGAAATCAAAGACACTTAGCAAACACACAAAACTCAAGATCTTCAATTCTTGTGTGATTCCAGTACTAACCTATGGATGCGAGAGTTGGAAATCAACGAAAACTCTAGACACAAAATTAGACAGTTTTGAAAATAAATGCCTTAGAAGAATACTAAATTTCAAATGGTCAGATTTCCGAACCAATACACAAATAAGGCAAGAATCCAGGCAAGAGTATGTGTCTAATTTTATACGAAAACGCCGCTGGAACTATGTCGGCCACGTCCTTAGAATGGATAAATCAAGACTTCCTTACCAAACCCTCATTTGGACACCACAGGGGAAAAGATCTCGTGGAAGACCAAGGGAAACCCTACGTAGAACTATCATCAGGGAAGGCTCGCTCATGGGCCACTCAAACATCCAAGACCTACAACGGATTGCAACGGACCGCCGTGCATGGAGAGTCACGACCTCTGCCCTATGTGCCGCACTCGACACAAGAGGAAAGACTAACTAACTAACACTGCTCTTCTCCTCATTCTCCTCCTCCCTATTTTTGTTTTTAACTTTCTCCTCCTCCTCCTCTTCTTCCTCCTCCTCCTCTTCCTTCTTCTTCTTCTTCTTCTTCTCCTCATCCTGCTTCTTCTTCTTTCTTCCTTCTGCTTTATAATAGCCTCTCATATTCCTTGTCATCCTCCTTCTTCCATCTTCCTTTTTTCTTCTTCCTTTTTCTTCTTTCATTTTCTTCTTCTCCTCCTCCTCATCCTGCTCTTCTTCTTCATCTTCTTCAATGATCACCATTTACTGTGTCTTTCCTCATGATCTGATCTGCCAGCCCCAATGACTTCATGCCTAGACCAAGTGAGTCAGCCTGTCAGCCCATGTCTCCACTCAGATCTGACCTCATCCAGTAAATCCCTCCTATAATAGCCTCTATGTCTCCACTCAGATCTGACCTGATCCAGTACATCCCTCCTGTAATAGCCTCTATGTCACCACTCAGATCTGACCTGATCCAGTACATCCCTCCTATAATAGCCTCCATGTCACCACTCAGATCTGACCTGATCCAGTACATCCCTCCTGTAATAGCCTCTATGTCACCACTCAGATCTGACCTGATCCAGTACATCCCTCCTATAATAGCCTCCATGTCACCACTCAGATCTGACCTGATCCAGTACATCCCTCCTGTAATAGCCTCTATGTCACCACTCAGATCTGACCTGATCCAGTACATCCCTCCTGTAATAGCCTCCATGTCACCACTCAGATCTGACCTGATCCAGTACATCCCTCCTATAATAGCCTCTATGTCACCACTCAGATCTGACCTGATCCAGTACATCCCTCCTGTAATAGCCTCTATGTCACCACTCAGATCTGACCTGATCCAGTACATCCCTCCTATAATAGCCTCTATGTCACCACTCAGATCTGAGATCTACACCTGATCCATGTCACCACTCAGACAGTACATCCCTCCTATAATAGCCTCTATGTCTCCACTCAGATCTGATCTGATCCAGTACATCTCTCCTGTAATAGCCTCTATGTCACCACTCAGATCTGACCTGATCCAGTACATCCCTCCTGTAATAGCCTCTATGTCACCACTCAGATCTGACCTGATCCAGTACATCCCTCCTATAATAGCCTCTATGTTTCCACAGGAACGCAATGCAGAAAGTGCCATTGAAGCATTAAAAGAATATGAACCCGAGATTGCCAAGGTCATCCGCGCTAACTCCAAGAGCGTTCAGAAGATTCGCGCCAGTTTGGTGGTGCCCGGAGATATTGTTGAAGTCTCAGGTAAGAGATTGTTGAGGTCTCAAATAATAATTTTCTTGGTTTGGCATTAGGGACTCGAGCATTCTCCTTGTTTAATTGTATAATAATGATAAAAACAGATTAGCATAATATGCCGGCGCTAGTGGCGTAAAAAAGGGTCGGTGCTTTCTTAATGCCCTACCCCAAACAGAGGAAATCCACAGGTCCGGGACAGTCTAATATTTCAGGGGGTGATAGATTGGCTGCATGCAGTCATGGGACCTAGGCTGCACTCTCTCGTGGGACGTAGGTGGGTTGGGGTTCGCCCCAGTTCTAGATGTTTTGCAGTCATTAAAAGCATCTGAAAGCCGGGAAACCCACTCTTACCACCCTCTAAAATGTTGGACTGTCCTGCAACGTCATCTGGGGTAGGATATTTCAAAACAACCAAAGGGTCCATTACTTTTACTTTGCTGGGAAGTAAAGGTGGCCGGTGTGATGCTGACCACATCACCCACCAAGTGCTGATTGGTCTATAAAAACATAGGTCTAGCCCTATATGCCTAATACGCCTAAAAGTGTGAAAAAGGGTTCTTTTAGTTTTACTTTTACTTTGACTTCATTAATCTTGAAATGTCACATGAATGTTTTCTCTGTAACAGTTGGTGACAAGGTACCTGCAGACATTCGTATTATCAAAATTACTTCTACAACACTGAGGGTAGACCAGTCCATTCTTACCGGTGAGTCAGCTTGATTGTTTATGTCTGGCAAGTTGCCCAATGTGTCTGTGGGGCTCAGAGTTTAGTGAATGTGTTTAAAATGTGTTTGCCCAATGTGTCTGTGTGGCTTAGAGTTTAGTGAATGTATTTAAAATGTGTTTAACAGTGTAGTACTAGGGCTAGACTTCTGGGTTGCACAGTTTCTTTTTTTTTTAAAAAGTTCTCCTGATTTTCAAACAGCAGTATGAGAGTCACACCATGAAAGATTAAAGCCTCTCCATGAGTATTGCACAGAATTTGCAGGTCAGAAAGATGAAATCTGACCCACAGGTGTGAGCTTGCAAGACAGACTATAGGGTACTGGCAAAAATGTCAAGCACACATGGTGACTTATGTCAGAATAGACATAGAGCAGATATTTACCACTGAACAAGAAGATTGCACAGCCCCTTTTGTGACCCATGCTGGAAAAGATGCAGAGCAAACATTTAGCACTAAACAAGAAGATTGCACAGCCTCTTTTGTGACCCATGCTGGAATAGATGCAGAGCAAACATTTAGCACTAAACAAGAAGATTGCACAGCCCCTTTTGTGACCCATGCTGGAATAGATGCAGAGCAAACATTTAGCACTAAACAAGAAGATTGCACAGCCCCTTTTGTGACCCATGCTGGAATAGATGCAGAGCAAACATTTAGCACTGAACAAGAAGATTGCACAGCCCTTTTTGTGACCCATGCTGGAATAGATGCAGAGCAAACATTTAGCACTAAACAAGAAGATTGCACAGCCTCTTTTGTGACCCATGCTGGAATAGATGCAGAGCAAACATTTAGCACTAAACAAGAAGATTGCACAGCCAGCTGTCATTTTTATAACCCTTGCTGGAATTGACATGTGCAGACATTTAGCAGTGAAAATGGAAGATTGCACTGCCACTTTTGTGAACCACACTTAAATAGACACGGAGCAAACATTTAGCAGTGACAAATAAAATTGTTCTGCCATTTTTGTGACCCATGCTATAAAAGATGCAGAGTAAACAGTAATCCATGGCATTAAAGTTGAATATAAGTGTCAGGTTTGTATTTTCCTTAACCAGGTAGCATCAAATATCAACCAGTGTGGTATTCTTCACTATTAGATAATATCAATAGATATTAGATAATATAATGTCAACCAATATTGTATTCTGCACTGTTATACGGGGTCAGATGTCAGTCAGTATTGATTCACGACTTTCATAACAGGGTCAGGTGTCAGCCAGTATTGATTCTCCACTGTTATGCAGGGTCAGATGTCAACCAGTGTTGTATTCTCTATGAACAGATAGCGCTGAGCCAATTAATACTGTTTTCTCCATTGCTGTACACTGTCAAATGTCAATCAGTGTTGTATTCTTCTGCAGGTGAGAGTGTCAGTGTACTTAAACATACAGATCCCATCCCTGACCCTCGAGCTGTCAATCAGGATAAGAAGAACCTGCTTTTCTCGGTAAGTTATTGATAGTTTCATCGCAGGTTTTATACAAAAATGCCGGCTACTTTACATATAGCTGGCACAGGGATTTATGCTGGCACAGTGATTTAGGCTGGCACGCGTTCACCAAGCTTTTTTCTACAAGTGGAGCTGGTACACATACTTGCGGCAGGGGCATAGAAGCAAAGTAGATACTGAGGTTGTGGGACGGGGAGGGGGCTTCAGGGTAACCCCTGCAAATTTTCTAGGTGGATGCTCATGCAGCCTAAGCTTTTTAAAAGAGTGGTATCAAGAGCAACTGTTAAGAAAGCAATGACAAACTATTAAACGTAAAATTGCCTAGAAAACAACAACAGCCCCCCCCCCCTTCCCATGCTGGGGTTGGTTCTGCAACTTCCTGGGAAGGACAGTCAGCTAACTTTAAAAAAAAAATAAAGCAAGTCAACACATAGTGGGTATATAGTGTGGTAATCTGGTAATCCTAGTTTCAGCTTCATAGCAAACGGGTCACCCCATAGTTGCTCCGCTCCTGTGCCAACGAAAAACACACGTAGCTCACAGTGTCACGCCATGCACTCAACTCAGAAGCTGGGCGACCAACTATATCCTTCCAGTCTACAAATGGAGCAAAAATGCAACGGCTACCGTCTGGAAAAAAAAAGGTGGCCGTGCCTAGCGTTCATTTTGACCTGAAGCATTATATGAGGGTTAATAAACGATCACTCCAGCAGTACCCTCATTATTAGCTGGGGAAGGGACTTAGGACATTACATCCACCAGCAGGCATCGCCCCTACAACGACCTGCCTGCCTTCGTTAACGACTGTTCACCCAACAGCCATGCAGTTCTTTGGCACAAAGGAGACACCTTGAACTTGGGTTTCGGACTGCCGACTCCCTACAAGATGTTATTTTATGTTTTGTTTTCACACTTGATGTCACTGCACATTGGGCATACCCATGCGTGCTCAGTTCGCCGAAGCAGCAACCACTCCAAAGTACTTCTACTAATTATCCCCATGAGAAGCTGGTTATATCGTCTCTTTTCTCGGCCCTGAAGTCGGCAAAGACGTGCATCACCATGCTTAACTCCCATGTCACGCAATGACATAAAGTATATATAGTGCTTGACCTATGTTTTACAGACCAAGCAACACTCTGTGGCTGGTGCGGTCAGTATCATACCAGCTGCCTTCATATCCCAGGACTTAATATTTCAGGCTGGTCTGACCTGAGAGCCAAGGTCATTTTTGAAAAAAATCAAATCAGACTGTATGCAGATTTGAACTCATAACTTTTGGACCTGCAGGCAAGCATCAAGCTGCCATGCCACAGCAACTTGCAAAGTGTGTAATAATAGTAATACAGTGCTGAATAGCAAAATATCTATAATAATGTGTTTGAAATAATAGCTGGTGCACAGACTTATTCATGTCTGGAAAACTTGTAAGGTAGAATGTTGTAATTGATTGTTGTTTAATATAGGCATTACCTTTTTGTTGTATAATATTGAAAATATATTCTGTTAGTTGTGCAGTTTAGAAAATATATTCTGTTGCTGATTACACTGCATTTTTTTTTTCTCTTCTTCTTCTTCTTCCTTCTCCTCCTCCTCATCCTCCTGCTTTCCATCTTTTTCAACCTCCTCCTCATCCTTCTGCTTCTCCATCTTCTTTCACCTCCTCCTTCTGTTCTCCTTCTCCTCTTCTTCCACCTCCTCCTCGTTTTCTTTCTCTATCTTCTTCCACCTCCTCCTCGTTCTCCTTCTTTTCTTCCACCTCCTCCTTGTTTTCCTTCTTCATCTTCTTCCACATCCTCCTCATCCTCCTGCTTATCCATCTTCTTCCACCTCCTCCTCGTTCTCCTTCTCTTCTTCTTCCACCTCTTCACCTCGTTATGCTATGTTAATGCATCTGTAATGCAGAGAATTTTGCTTCTCTAATATGACAACTAAGACACTCTACGCCTTAACGCCATGACAATAGCCAGTGGCAGCCAACGTGCACTGGATTGCAAATTATTCCTCCCCACGACGCTTAACGGCAGAAGTGGTTCATGATGATGATGATGAATGCATCTGTAATGCAGAGAATTTTGCTTTTCTGATATAACTGTTTTGCATGTGATATAAACTGTCTTTGACAAGAACCTGTTATGTCTTCAGGGAACCAACATTGCAGCCGGAAAATGTCGCGGAGTCGTTATTGGAACAGGCCTAAACACAGAAATTGGTAAGTTTTATTTGATCTATTTTTTGTACTCAAAATCCCTGAACACAGACTATAACATATAGTATAGAGGCCTCAGTCTGTGTATAGCCCTCAGTCTTATACAAGCCTCACTCTGTATAGAAGCCTTGGTATGTGAGAAACTGGTTATAGGTGTAGAAGCCTAAGTATGTATAGAAGCTTTTCTGTGTGTAGAGCTGGCTGTAGCTATAGAAGCTTTGCTTTTTGTAGAGCTCCTGAGTATGTATAGAAGCTGCAGTATGTATAGAAGCCTCAGTATGTATAGAAGCCTCAGTGTGCATAGAAGCCACAGTATGAATAGAAGCCTCAGTATGAATAGAACCCTCAGTATGAATAGAAGCTGCAGTATGTACAGAAACCTCAGTAAGTATAAAAGCCTCAGTATGAATAGAAGTCGCACTATGTATAGAAGCCTCAGTAAGTATAGAAGCCTCAGTATGAATAGAAGCCGCACGATGTATAGAAGCCTCGGTATGAATAGAAGCCGCAGTATGAATAGAAGCCTCAGTATGAATAGAAGCTGCAGTATATATAGAAGCCTCAGTATAAATAGAAGCCGCAGTATGTATAGAAGCCTCAGTAAGTATAAAAGCCTCAGTATGGATAGAAGCACTATGGTAGAAGCCTCAGAAGTATAGGCTATCAGTATGTATAGAGCCTAAATATGTATAGAAGTGTATAGAAGCCTTGGTATGTGAGAAACTGGCTATAGGTGTAGAAGCCTAAATATGTATAGAAGTGTATAGAAGCCTTGGTATGAATAGAAGCTGCAGTATGAATAGAAGCCTCAGTATGAATAGAAGCCTCAGTATGAATAGAAGCTGCAGTATGTATAGAAGCCTCAGTATAAATAGAAGCCGTAGTATGTATAGAAGCCTCAGTATTTATAGAAGCCTCAGTATGAATAGAAGCCGCAGTAAGTATAGAAGCCTCAGTATGTATAGAAGCCTCAGTAGTATAGAAGCCTCAGTATGTATAGAAGCCGCAGTGTGTATAGAAGCCTCAGTATGTATAGAAGCCTCAGTATGTATAGAAGCCTCAGTATGTATAGAAATGGCTATTTGAATAGAAGCAACTATATAGACATGGCTGTAATGAAATGGAAATATATAGGCAGATCCTTGTGTTGAAGTCTGTGTGTGTGTTTTTATAGAAGAAATGCTTTCCCGGATAGAGCTGTGGAAAGGCACATGCGTCTGATGAGACGGAGACTGTTTGTAACCAGACTGTGCTCATCCACAGGTAAAATCCGTAATGAGATGATGGAGACCGAGACAGAGAAGACCCCCCTCCAGCAGAAACTGGATGAGTTCAGCAACCAGCTATCCAAGGTAAGTCTACAGCTGGGTGTGTTGGTGTATTAGTTAAGACTGAAGAAGTAACAAGCGTACAAAATGTGGCATCATCATCAGAATGCACCATGATGATTGTGGGGATGTTCACTTTTCACCAGCCCATTTGATCACCAGAATCATGGATCAGCTCATTGCTCTTGTCCTGCCTTATCACTGTGGCTAAGCAATTTAGATATTTATCTTTGCCTCTCCCTTGCTCTTTTCCTCTCACTCTTGTCAATTTTTCAGTCTGTTCCTACTCATGACATGTTCAAAGAAAAAAAAGGTAAAGTCGGGAATGTGAACCAGCGTCATTGCACACAGTTATAAACCGGGAAATGTGAACCAGCGTCACTGCACATTTTTATAAACTGGGAGATGTGAACCAGCATCACTGCACACGGTTATAAACCATAAGTGCTGTGCCACCAGTACGGACAGGTGATCCGCGGACAGGCCAGAGTCTGCAGCGCCAGCATAGAAAGATCAATAATACAATACATTTGGCAGGTGGTCTGCAGTGCCCTTGCTGCTAGTCCTCTGCATGCCAGATTTGGCTCGCGGGCCACCAGTTTAGAAGCTATGCTGTATAGTATATTACATCATGTGCACATATGGCTATAGATATGAAATTGATGAGGTTACCAAGCAGTTGCAGTGTTGGAGTTGACTAGCTCTTGTGTGTAAGGAGAAAAGCTAACATCACTTGCCTGCCCGCTACCCAAGGGACACCCAAGTAAACCCCATCTTCTGTCTGTGTGTGTTCCTGGACCCAATTTTAGATCAAATGAGAATAGACCCTAAGATCCCTAACAAGGCCATAAAAGGGTTGTTTCCTTCTGAGTGCCTGAGAGGCAGGGAACCAACAGTCTGCATAGAAATAAGCTAGATCTGTCAAATGAATATGCAAGTTCTGAAACAAGACTAAAGTCTAGAAGTGGATGAACAACCAGATCTTTTCAGGGGTTTACATGCGGTGAACACTCAGAAGAAGATCTCTACCCCCAAGTAGTGGACATTGGGAAAATGGAGGCTCTGAGATCACAGGCTAACAGAGTTCTGGGTTCTGGCTCACCAGGTGGGATCGGATCCATCTGGGTAAATTTTCCCTGAAACTGTGACAGGCATAGAAAGTTGGTTGTGATTAAACTTGCTTGAAGAAACAGCAAAAAGAGAATTTGGATCAATCCCTATGTTAAACCGCCTCATATTATCAATATTTGTGGCAAGCCGAGAGGAGCGTCTGGCTCTCACGTGAGAGACCTGGGTTCGAACCCGTGCTGAGGCTGGGGATTTTTTTCTGTCAGGAGCAAAATAAAATTTTCACCTGCACACTCATGGTGACAGCACTAAACATGCAGCTGTAAATCCTCAGCCATCCCCCCACCCCCCCCCCCCCCCTTTCCTGTTGTAATAAAGGCAGTAATTTGGCAGTTGGCATTGCCAAATAAGAAGATCAAGCATTGACTGATAGTTAGGATTGGGTTTTCTTGAATAGGTAGACCAAAGTAAGCACAAAAACACTTCACATTTCTCAGTGGACTTGTTCTGTAGGTTAGGTGATTACAGGTTTGTGAGTGGATACTATCTGTATGTTAGGTTGCTCTTGCAGGCAATGCTACCCTATGATTTATACCTTCTGTGGACAGAATTTACATAGTTATAATTAATGCTGTTCAAGAAATGTATCTTGAAGACCTCAAACATAAAGGTACTGATTTCTCTCTGGCTTGGATGTGAAGTCTAAATGTATCGATTGGAGCAGAGTGATATGAAAACTATGCAGAAGCTTACAGTTGCTACATCGGCCAATACACAACAGGAATTGACAGCTTAAACACATGAACAAACATGCTTAGGAGGTAGTTAGAGCATGCACTTATAGTTTTGCCGACGTGCAATGAAAAGGATCCTGAATGTTGAGTTAACATCACAGCACTCAGGGCATTCCCATATACGATTGGTTCCCATCCTCAGCAGCCAGCGTAGAGTTTCAATTCTAATGGTGCCGGTAGTAGTCTGGTTGTATGTGCGTCTTGCCTTTCCCCTGAGTGTAGTGTGCCGGCGGAACCCTCTTGTCACACCCAGGTGCATCGTTCTATCCAGCCCATAATAATCTAGTTTCTCTTCTGACTTTATTGCATGCTCCCAAAAGGCTTTGACCACATCTGCCTTGTCATGTATCAGTTCACCACCCAGCAGTGAGATCCAGCCAATCTGTCTGCTTGTTCATTCCTCACCATGCCAGAATGTCCTAGAGAAAAGATCCAAAGTATGCTCCCTACCCGTGACTTTGCAACTGATGCTTGCCACTCTGCTCGAAGCCATCCTGTCTTCACGTTTTTCAGCATGCTTTCAGAGTCTGTTACAATTATGACATGTGTATTATCTTGTTCTCTAGCCACTGACAAGCTGAAGTGACTGCCTCCACCTCCATTCTCAAATGATCCTGAAATGAACATTGAAAAACTTTAAGTTTATTACAATTATCTGAGTGTTTGTATTCTCAATCTTTAGGTGATTACAATTATCTGTGTGGCCGTCTGGGCCATCAACATCGGCCATTTCAATGACCCCGCTCATGGAGGATCATGGATGAAGGTAAGGCCATCTTTCCCTGTTTAACTTATTCTTCTTTGTCTTTTGTCATCACATTATTACAGGATTGTAACTCAGTACCATGGTTTTTATTTTTCACTTTTGAAGTAATTGAACCTTTTCACCCTGCGAAAGCCACACACAAAAAAACACACAAATAACAAAGAGCCACGAATCCATAAGAATTTTAGGGAGAAATATTATTTTAAAAATACAGCTATTCTTATAAGGTCAGTAATGAATTGTTGAAAACATTTATTTATCTCAGTCAGTCAGTAGCACATCCTTTGCAGAACCGTGCTGCAATAACAACCCTCCGGAAAACTTCTCGATCACAAGCAAGATGTCCCGTGTCTGATACACCCATCTTGAGATCATTTGCCACATCCTGCATCCATCTCCTTTTTAAGCCTTCCTCTTCCTCTCTTCCCAGGCAAATACCCCTCCATTACCAGTCAGTTGACAGTTCTTTTACAGTGCGGTCAATGACAGTGTTTAGGTGCACCTGCTTTTCCATCAACTAAAAAAAATACACTATAGGACAACTAAGCGTTTCTTATGTATAAACAGTACATTTATGTGACCGTGTGAGATTATTTCACATTGAAAGGTTTTGTTTTCCGTTCCAGGGAGCCATCTACTATTTCAAGATTGCTGTAGCTTTGGCCGTGGCTGCTATCCCAGAAGGTTTGCCTGCTGTGATCACAACTTGTTTGGCCCTGGGTAAGTCTGTGCGTGTAGGACAGTCTGGTGTCTACATGTTTGTGAATGATCGTCAGGAAGTTGAAGTCGATAGGATCGTTTTCATTGGACAGGGTTATCCTGTATAGCTCTGTCTCTATTTCCATAGAGCAGCTGGCCACCTGTCAAGAGCATTGCTTACATTCTGCAGCTCCAGCAGCAGTCCTCTGGGATTTCTAAAAACTATTCGTGAAACGAACGACGCCTCTGTGACAACCACAAAATTCAGAGCAGAAGGCAAATGGCTTGACTACTTTGCCATGGAAGACCATATGACATAAAGTATTTTCTGGTAAACAAGTGCCATCATCATCATCATCATCATGTGCCATGCCAGAAAGCGTAGGTGGTCATGTTGTGCTGATTTACATGATCGCCACAATCATGGATCAGTTCACACAATCATGGATCAGTTCAGAGTCTTTGTTTTGCTCCATACATGTATTTATCTCTTTCTTTCTCCCACTCTCTTTCCATCTGCATTGCCACATGTTACCAAGTTCTAAATCCATTTCATCTCATAGTAACATGCACCGCTGTACACAGCATTTTACAGTGCTTTGTAGATCCTGTGTTGTACTTCGAAGGAAATCTCCAATTAGTCGATTTCTACGAAATGCTTGTTGGGAAGTTAGTGGGACTATTCTTGTTTTCCCCTCAATGGGACCCCGGAACCCACACAGAGATGCATTTTAAAACCCCATTGCTGAGGCCTGAAGAAACTATCTGGCTCGTTTACTAATTCTACAGAATTCATGACTAAATATTTATGTTATAATTCTATGTACACAAACAGGCACTCGCAGGATGGCCAAGAAGAATGCAATTGTGAGATCCCTGCCCTCGGTGGAGACTTTGGGCTGCACATCTGTCATCTGTTCTGACAAGACTGGAACCTTGACCACTAACCAGATGTCTGTCTGTAAGGTCAGTAAGTCTACAGCCATCTCTTTCTTCCCTCTTTGCTCTCTGTCTTTCTCTGTCTTTCTCTCTCTTTATCTTTCTGTCTTGTTCTCTCTCACTGTTAGTCTGCCTTTTATATCTCTCTTTCACTCTCCGTCTCTATCAGAGACAAAATATACACATTTTCGGGGCACCAGGAGCCCCTCTTGGCAGTGATGAAATGTCGCAAGCTAGCTTGGTTTGGTCACGTGGTGAGACATGATTCGATTGCCAAGGAACATTTGGTGGGTAGTCGAAGAAGAGGAGGGCAAAGAAGATCCTAGAATGACAACATCGAGAAATGGACAGGACTAAGTTTTCATACACTTATTCATCAAGCAGAAGACAGAGAAAGATGACCCTAATGGGCAAAGGGTTATGTTATGTTATGTTATCTTTCTCTCATGTTTCTATATTTTCCTTTTCTCTATCTCACAATCTCTCTCTTTCTGTCTATTTCTCTCTCTGTTTCTGCTTCTCCCTCTCACTTTCTCTATCTCACTCCCTTTCTTTCTCTCTCTCTCATACACACACACACACACACACACACACACACACACACAGACACATGCATGCATGCGCATATGCGCACGTATACACACACACACACACATACACTGTCTCTCTCTCTCTCTCTTGCTGTCTTTCTCATTGGCATACATCTTCTGTCCCATCTGGTTGAGGTGTGTCTTTCAGTCAGTTGCTGATTTGAATATTGTCCTATAAATTGTAAAAATGGGTGTAAAGATCTGTAATATTTGTTACAAATAGGTCATGTGCATGCATGCATGCAAACACACATTTGGACACATATTAATGTGCACAAATGCACACACACACACACACACAATTCAGTGGACAGATGGGACTGCTAATTACTGCAGTACATGTATTTGACCAGCTTACTGCAGTACAAGTCTTTCCTTGGCCCACACTGCACTATACATAAATAACTAGAATAAACTGTACAAAGTCTTCCCTTGGCCCACACTGCACTATACATAAATAACTAGAATAAACTGTACAAAGTCTTTCCTTGGCCCACACTGCACTATACATAAATAACTAGAATAAACTGTACAAAGTCTTCCCTTGGCACTATACATAAATAACTAGAATAAACTGTACAAAGTCTTCCCTTGGCCCACACTGCACTATACACTAGAATAAATACAAAGTCTTCCTTGGCCCACAGAATAAACTGTACAAAGTCTTCCCTTGGCCCACACTGCACTATACATAAATAACTAGAATAAACTGTACAAAGTCTTCCCTTGGCCCACACTGCACTATACATAAATAACTAGAATAAACTGTACAAAGTCTTCCCTTGGCCCACACTGCACTCTACATAAATAACTAGAGTAAACTGTACAAAGTCTTCCCTTGGCCCACACTGCACTATTACATAAATAACTAGAATAAACTGTACAATCTCTGTGGGTAATTATCATAAACTGCAATCTATGTTGAGCTGTGTACCCTCCATCAGTCTGTCTTGTTTACTGCAAAGACAAAAATAAGACACACCTCCATTTACATATCCTCTGTCCTGAGTCCAAGGAAGGTGTACAAGAGAAACCTCAAGGTGAATGTTGATGAAAGCAGTCAAAGGTGCTGAACTGAATTCTATCTTCCACCCTATGGGTTCTGGGGCTCCATTGTGGGGAAGACAAGCATAGACCCACTGCATCCCCTACAAGAGTGTTGTAGGAATTGACTAATTGAGAGCTTCCTTCGAAATCAGAGTGCATCTGCCAGAGCGGCAAGGAACAACCAGCTCTACACAAATAAGCCAGTAAAACGTATGTACACACAAAACTCAGGCCCTGGCACAAAGCCAAAGTCTAAATAGATGAACAGCCAGGATTTTCCACTGGAGCTTAGAGCCAGTGAACAAAAAAAGAAAGATTTGCATCCATTTTATTGAAATGATTGTAAAGGATAGAATGCATGGAGAAATAGACTGTGAGCCTTATGTGACAAAGCATGGCACAACAGAGCTGTGAGTGAATGAATCCTGAGTGCAAGGTTTGGTACAACTATGACACATGTCTGCACCTGTTTCAGATGTTCATCTTCACACAAGTGGAAGCAAACACTATCAAGACCCAGCAGTTTGACATCACCGGCTCAACCTATGCCCCAGAAGGAGACCTGTACGTACCATATTTTTGTTCTTGCTGATTTATAGTAAGTAGAAGATAGGCAAGGTTTCAGCTTGACTGCATGTGGTTCATCCCATAATTGCTCCATTCCGATGACAACGAAAATCTCATGAAATACCCCTCACTGGGGAGTCGCCGTGGCGTAGCGGCTAGGCGCTCGCGTGAGGATCGGAAGGTCATGAGTTCGCTCTTTTTTTTTCAAAAATGGCTCCCAGGTCAACCCAGCCTTGAGTGGGTGCTAGATGCAGTTCCGGGAAGTAAAGGCAACCAGCATGATGCTCACCACATCACCCATCTTGTGCAGATTGATCTATATAAATATAGGTCCAGCCCTATATGCCCTATACGCCGAAGGGCATGGGAGAGGGACCTTTACTTTTTTTTTAAAACTTTCACCCCTCACTGTCTCATTGAAAAACTAGTGAAATCCAGAAACATGCAGCTGCAGTAAATACTTAAGGCAGCTGCTGGAAGTGCCAGTTCCAACAGACTGATATAGAACATCCAGGGCATTCTAGACAAGGTCCTTATGTTGTAGATATGTTGGTTATTGAACAGGCATCTGGCCACCTTTACTTCCCAGAACTCTACTTGATACCCGGGGGGGGGGGGGGGAGGGGGGGGGGGTCACCTTGTGGCAAAGTAGTTAAACCACTTGCCTTGCGCTCTGAAGGTCATGGGTTCGTTTCACGGTGATGCCGTTCAGTTCACGAGTGCAATTTTTACAGAGATCCCTGAGGATCATTGCCAGAGCTACGGAGGTCAGGCTCTGTACAACACTCTCAGCAGGTAGCTAGCCATTCTGCGGAGAGAGACTGATCCATATGGGATAAAACCTGGTGCAATGAAGTCGATCCTCTCGACTTTAACCTTTACTTTCACCTGGTACCCACTTAAGGCTGGGTTGACCTGGGAACCAAGGTTATTTCTTTAAAAAAAAGTTTATCTTTGTCAAGATTGGCAGTAGGTAGGTCAGAATAATGGTTACATCAAAGAAAAGAATAGTGCCTAAATGAATCATAAAGTATATGTATACAGTAGATCTCACCTCATCAGCTATATAGCTCTGAGATCCAGAACTCTGTGTTTAGTCTCATCTCATCACATGTTCAGTATCAACTCTGTGTTTAGTCTCATCTCATCAGCTCTATGTTTAGTCTCATCTAATCAACTCTGTGATTAGTTTCATCTCATCATCCTCACTAACTATATTTAGTCTCATCTCATCAGCTCTATGTTTAGTTTCATCTCATCAACTCAATGTTTAGTCTCATCTAATCAACTCTCTGTTTAGTTTCATCTCATCAACTTTATGTTTAGTCTCATCTCATCAACTTTATGTTTAGTCTCATCTCATCAACTCTCTGTTTAGTTTCATCTCATCAACTTTATGTTTAGTCTCATCTCATCAACTTTATGTTTAGTCTCATCTCATCAACCTCATCAACTCTATCTTTAATCTCAACTTATCAGCTCTGTGTTTAGTCTCATCTCAACAGCTCTTCAAGTCTCATCTCATCAACTCTTATGTTTCTCATCCCATCAACTTTATCTGATGTTTCTCAACTCATTATCTGATGTTTCTCATCTCATCAACTCTGTCTGATGGATGTTTTCCATCTCATCCACTCTGTCTTATGTTTAGACTTTAGATGACAGATCAACATCTTGGCACAAGGGCACATCATGGCACTCTGTCTTATGTTTCCCATCTCATCAGCGCTATGTGATGTTTCTCACCTCATCAACTCTATCTGATGTTTTTTATCTCATCATCTCTGTCTGATGTTTCTCATCTGATCAGCTCTATCTGATGTTTCCCATCTCATCCATTCTGTCTTATGTTTCCCATCTCATCAACGCTATGTTACATTTCTCTCATGGAACAGTTTGGTCAACAACAAAGTGGTCAAAGCCAGCGACTATCCCGGACTGGAGGAGATAGTCACCATCTGTGCCATCTGTAACGACTCCAGTGTCGACTATAATGAGGTTTGTGTCGCTTGACATCAGTTTGTATTTTTGTTTGCATTTTTGTTTGCTTTTGTGTTTCTTTCCGAAGTTATTGCCACATACACTTGCTTGCCAAAGTGATTATATTTGTCTTGTCGATGTGTGTGGTGGATTTGAAAAACAAAAACAAAAGAGAGAGAGAGGCAGAAGGAGACCAAAAAAGAGAAACTGTTAGATACTTTGGCATCATAGCATCCCATCCCCAAGGGACGTGAGCTAAACTGCCTCCAGTATTGTGTCTGTCAGTGACCTCTGAATAGTCATTAGTCATTACTCAAGGTCCCAGTATCACTGCAGACTGGTGGCTCTATCACTGCACAGTCTCTGTGCCAGCAAAGATCACACACAATGTCCTCCACTGTCCTATTTGAAAACTAGTGAGGAACTTGTCAGTCCCTTCAAAATCTTGAAGCTTGCACACACACAAAATAAAAATGCATAAGGCAGATGTCAGATGTGTTGCCAGACCAGAATTACAGCTCACTGTTGGCACAAAAAGGTCAGTCACGAAAGCGGGCGTTCTACCCACAAAAGTACCCACCATATTGAATGTAACATTCTATGCAAATAGCAGCTCACAGTATCACATCAGACACTCAGCTAAGTAGCTGGCTGATGGAACCTTTAGGCTTCAGGTCCAGAAATGGGGAATTTGCATCAGAAAAATCTAGCCGGAAACAAATAATTTCCAAAGTTTCAGTGGTCAACCAGCTAAAGTCCCTCTCATCCTCTGAATAATCTCTTCTGAACCCTTTCTTCACAAGAAGCGGAAACATTGGTTTTTGTCATCTGTTACAGATCTCTGAGAAATTACCAGGATACCTGTAAGATGCCCCCTGTGTTACTGTTTTGTACGTTTTAATGCTGCTTTTGAATTAGCATTCTTTTTTTTTGTTTTTGTTCCTTTTTTTTTTCACTGGCTGTAAACTTCAGCAGACAGTGTTGGTTGTTCATCCACTTCTTTGCTTTGGTCTTGTTTCAGAACTTCAGCTTTTTGAGCACATCCATGTTCAGACATGGCTTATTTATATGCTATGCAGACTGTTGGTTCCTTGCCTCTGAGGCAGATGCACTCTGACTTTAAAGGAAACACTCCTAATTAGTCAACTTTTACAACATGTTTGTTGGGTTGGGGGGGGGGGGGGGCGCAGGAGGCCTCTGGGTCTGTTATTGCCCCCACGCACCCCCTTCCCAAAATGAAGGCCCAGAACCCACACCGGGAGGATTGACATTCAAATATTGGCTCATTGAGTCACTCACTGCCAGGCTTTCAGACAGGGTCAGGAGAATTTTAAAAATAAAATCTCTGTGATTTTGCCAGCCAGCTTGTTGACATGTTGTTCCTCCATGTAGCTAAACTCACATGGGTACCAGCAACAGTCCTGGGAATTAAACGGGACTGAAAATAAGAGCCCAGCATCACATGCCCAATGTCCTGGGAAGTAAAGGCAATTTATTACAAATCTGAGCCCAACATCATATGTCCGATACACCACTGGCATGTGAAGGGTCTTTTACCTTGTTTATGACGAGAGAAATGTCCTTAGTGCCACAAGAGAGAGCAAATACTGTGAGGTTCTCAGTTTCAGAAAAAAATCATTATACACTGAATAGACTGCATACTCTGTATGTGCCGACTGGAGCAGCCAGACAAGAGAAACATCTTCAGTGCCATAAGAGAGAGCAAACGCTGTCAGGTTTTTTATTTCTTAGAAAATGGTTATTTACTGAATAGACTGCCAACTCTGGTTGTACCAGCTGGAGCAGCGATGCAAGAAAACCATGGAACCACATGTTGTTACATCGGCCAGAACTGAATGAGAGTTGTTAGCCTGAAAACATACTCAGGAGGAGATTGGAACAATTACGGTCATGTCTGATAAAGATGATCTTTAACTCTTTCTATTCCGTGGTGTTTAGCATATTTGTTAGTAAAAGAGAGACATAAAATTGACACATCTTGTGTTCACTGGGCTTCGAGGTATGAACCTATGATTGTATGATAACATTCCTTGTGACTGAAAGAGTTAACTGAACAATGTACCATGCTTGCGCTGTGAGGAGTTGCATGGGGATCTGACCGACTCTTAATACTCATGGGAAAGGCCAGACGGATATACAGTAAGACAGCTACTATTGCAGTCAGAATTTTAACTTCGCTTGCTGCTGAAGATGGGGACAGAGCGCTTTTGGGGGTATCCTGAGTGTTGTGATGTTGATTCCCAATTCAACATTCAACATTTTTTGGGGGGTTCCATTTTTGTCATTCCACAGACTAAAGACATTTACGAGAAGGTGGGAGAGGCCACAGAGACTGCCCTGACAGTGTTAGTGGAGAAGCTGAACTTCTACAACACAGACAAATCGGGCCTGTCCAAGCGAGAGAAGGGCACTGTCTGCTGCCATGTGATCCAGGACATGTGGAAGAAGGAGTTCACCCTGGAATTCTCCAGAGACAGAAAGTCTATGTCCGTCTACTGTGTGCCAAATAAACCTTTGAAAGTTTCTGGTGCACGTATGTTTGCCAAGGTGAGTTGTTGTATGCCTTGTTTGTCATCTTTATTCTTCTTTTCAAAAAGTTTCTAGTGCACGTATGTTCGCCAAGGTGAGTTGTTGTAGGCCTTGTTTGTCTTCTTAATTCTTCTTTGGAAAAGATTTCTAGTGCCAAGGTTAGTTGTTGTAGGCCTTGTTTGTCATCTTTATTCTTCTTTTTACAAGTTTTCTGGTGCGTGTATGTTTGCCGAGATGAGTTGTTGTAGGCCTTGTTAGTCATCTTTATTCTTCTTTGGAAAAGATGTCTAGTGCCAAGGTTAGTTGTTGTGTGCTTTGTTTATTATCTTAATTCTTCTTTGGAAAAGATATCAAACCTAAGCGGAAGTAAATCTATCAGTTGTTCAGTTTGTCCCTTCCAGGCTGCAGCTTACATACACATATATGCTGTAGGAATGATAAATGCTTGGAAGGGTTGAATGTAAGGCCTTGAGAGAGTACTAGTAACAATACTATATCAAACCCTGTATGAATTTACCTAATGACAGTGCTAGCAGCAGTATAATATCAAACCCTGTGTGAATTTACCTAATGGCAGTGCTAGCAGCAGTATAATATCAAAGCCTCTGTGAATTTACCTAATGACAGTGCTAGCAGCAGTATAATATCAAAGCCTGTGTGAATTTACCTAATGACAGTGCTAGCAGCAGTATAATATCAAAGCCTCTGTGAATTTACCTAATTACAGTGCTAGCATCAGTATAATATCAAAGCCTCTGTGAATTTACCTAATGACAGTGCTAGCAGCAGTATAATATCAAAGCCTCTGTGAATTTACCTAATGACAGTGCTAGCAGCAGTATAATATCAAAGCCTCTGTGAATTTACCTAATGACAGTGCTAGCAGCAGTATAATATCAAAGCCTCTGTGAATTTACCTAATGACAGTGCTAGCAGCAGTATAATATCAAAGCCTCCGTGAATTTACCCATTGACAATGCTAGCAGCAGTATAATATCAAAGCCTCCCTGAATTTACCTAATGACAGTGCTAGCAGCAGTATAATATCAAAGCCTCTGTGAATTTACCTAATGACAGTGCTAGGAGCAGTATAATATCAAAGCCTGTGTGAATTTACCTAATTACAGTGCTAGCAGCAGTATAATATCAAAGCCTCTGTGAATTTACCTAATGACAGTGCTAGCAGCAGTATAATATCAAAGCCTCTGTGAATTTACCTAATGACAGTGCTAGCAGCAGTATAATATAAAACCCTGTGTGAATTTATCCATTGACAATGCTAGCAGCAGTACTATATCAAAGCATCCCTGAATTTACCTAATGACAGTGCTGTCATCTGCTGTATTTCAAAGCCTACATGAATTTACCCATGGACAATTCTAGTTGCAGTACTTTATCAAAACCTTCTCCGTAAATTTACCTGTAGACTGAAAGGAATGATTGTGTACCTGCAATATTTGAAATTCTCATCTTGAGTTGTATGTTATTCAGGGTGCCCCAGAGGGACTGCTTGACCGCTGCACCCATGTCAGAGTTGGACAGAACAAGGTCCCCATGTCACCAGCCATCAAGAATGAGATCATGAAACTGACCAAGCTCTACGGGACAGGTCAGCTGTTGTTTGGTTCACATCTGAATAATTTTGTCTGATTAACATATACATCACTTGAAATTTCACTGTATATTTTTAGTCTTCTGATTATCTGTGCTGACTTTAGCATTGAATTTACTTTACCTACATTCATCCATTTTAAAACATTACATTATTCACTGTCATCCAGTTTCCAACATTAGTTAATCAACTCTGTGCCAGTTTCCATTATTACTCGATCCACTCTGACCCGGTTTACAACATTATGTGATCCACTCTCATTCAGTTTCTCCCATTACCTGACCCAGGTTACTTGACCCATTCCCATCCAGTTTGCAACATTACTTGACCCACTCCTATTCATTCTGTATCAGTACTTGACCCACTCCTATCTAGTCTGTGTCAGTACTTAATCCACTTTGCATCAGTACTGGACCCACTCCTATCCACTCTGTGTCAGTACTTGACCCACTCCTATCCACTCTGTGTCAGTACTTGACCCACTTCTATCTAGTCTGTGTCAGTACTTAATCCACTTTGTATCAGTACTTGACCCACTCCTATCCAGTCTGTGTCAGTACTTGACCCACTCCTATCCACTCTGTGTCAGTACTTGACCCACTCCTATCCACTCAATGTAGTACTTGACCCACTCCTATCCACTCTGTGTCAGTACTTGACCCACTCCTATCCACTCTGTGTCAGTACTTGACCCACTCCTATCCACTCTGTGTCAGTACTTGACCCACTCCTATCTAGTCTGTGTCAGTACTTAATCCACTTTGCATCAGTACTTGACCCACTCCTATCCATTTTCCAATCCTACTTGACCCACTCCTATCCATTTTCCAATCCTACTTGACCCACTCCTATCCATTTTCCAATCCTACTTGACCCACTCCTATTCAGTTTTCAACACTATTTGACCCACTGCTGTCCAGTTTCCAACACTACTTGACCCACTCCTATCCAGTTTCCAACACTACTTGACCAACTCCTATCCAGTTTCAAACACTACTTGACCCACTCCTATCCAGTTTCAAACACTACTTGACCCACTCCCACCCAGTTTCCAGCAGTACTTGGCCCACTTCTATCCATTTTGCGTCAGTACTTGACCCTCTTCTATGCAGTTTTCAACATATCTGACGACCACTCCCACACTATTTTCCCCACTTCTACAACACTGCTTACCAGCTACCTCTTTAATTCCCTCTCTGTTACAGCATTGCTTGACCCACTCACACATTATATGTCTCACACATACATCGTGCACCTACAGTATGACTTTATCTGCTCTCGCATTAGTAACAGATAAAGGTAAAGTACCTTGTCCACACCGAGGTGCATCACAGTATGCTATGCTAGGCTTCTGTGTTCATAGATCAGCCCACACTTGAATGGGTAATGTGGTCACCACCATGTTGGTTCCCTTTACTTCTAAGTGTATTTTCTGACACCCATTAGAGACTGGAGCCAAGGCCAGTTTTTCTGTCCAAGTCTGGTCTGGTAGTCTGGTAGTCTTAGTTTCAACTTCATAGCAACGGGTCGCCCCATCTTTGCTCCGCTCCTGTGCCAACTAAAAATACCCGGAATGTTTATCACAGTCCCTTGTGGAAAGATTGACAGACTGCTGTCTCAGCATATCTAGCATACACTCGCATTAAAGCATACGGTAGCCATCCGAAGTGCTAACACAAACAGTCCAACATTAGAATGCAGTTCATCATTGATGATAGCAGAACTTGTCGCCAACAGTTCAGCAGTTGTCCAAGCGATCAATTTTAACCAGATACGAGCACCGCCAACATTGCACGACAGGCATCACGCCATTTTCTGAATCTACAATTCACACCACCACGTTGGTCACAGTCGAAAATACATTCCAAATGCAATCCGCAGCTCACAGGGTCACGCCATGCATTCAACTCAGAAGTTGGGCAACGAAACTATATCCAGTCTACAAATGGAGCAAAAATACTTCGGTCACCGTCCGGCAGAAACAAAAAATTTGCCTCTGCTTCGAACAGCGTCGCTGTCTAGCGTCCATTTTAACCGGAAGTCTGTCCAAGTCTGCCTGGTGCTGGAACAAACCTAAGACCTTTGGACGGACAGGCGAACATCTAGCCACTTCACTTGTGCAGCTCCCTGTCACATTTTCTGACCATTTCTCATATTTAATATTTGTTTGTTGTCGTAGTATAAATAAACATTGAAATACGTAACTGTTTGTATGTTGTGCTAGAATAAAGAAACATGGAAATACTTACTGTTTTTATGTTGTGCTAGAATAAAGAAACATGGAAATACTTACTGTTTGTATGTTGTGGTAGTATAAAGAAACATGGTAATGCTTAATGTTTGTATAAAGTGGTAGTATGACAAAACATTTTAATACTTACTGTTTGTATGTTGTGGTAGCATGAAGAAAAATTATAAAGCTTACTGTTTTTATTTTGCGGTAGTATGAAGAAATATGATAATACTTATTGGTATGTTATATTATCTCAGTTAATTGTTATTATACATTAAGCATTCCCAAGTGTGCTCGGTCCTTTTATGCAGCATCTCTCCTCGGGTACTTCTGCTGCTGTATTACTCCTCTCCTCTCCACCTTTCTCTTCTTTTGCTTCATGTTCACCGGCTTTAAGCTCCGACAGGACATTCTGGTTGCTCAGCCACTTCTGTACTTTGGGCTTGCTCCAGAATTTGGAATTTTGCATGCATATCCATTTTTCAGATCTGGCTTATTTGTGTGCAGACTGTTGGTTCTTTTCTCTCAGGCAAATCCACTCCGACTTTGAAGAAAACATCCATAATTAGTGGCCTGTTATGACATGCTTGTAAAGATAGCAGTGGGTCTATTCTTTTCTCCCCTAAACAATGGTGCCCTGGAACTCGCACCTTAAGGTCACGTAAACAATTTCTTCTTCTTCTTCTGCATTTGTCTAAAGATGTCATTGTGTTGTACCCATTTACAGCCTGGCTGTGATATGTGCACCTTTCGGCCAACAAATCCAACTTCTATGAGCATTTGTTGACGGGGTTTGCCTTCCCAGTGTAACCAATTGAAACTAAAATCTCAATATTATCTACAACATTGGTTTCTGAAACAGGTCGGGACACTCTACGTTGTCTGGCTCTAGCCACGATTGACAACCCACCACGACGAGAGGACATGGATCTGGAGGATGCCAGGAAATTCATTCAGTATGAGGTGGGTACAGGTCAGATAACTTTGGCACACCAGGTATATAGTTATGGTAAAGTAAGTAAAGATCCCTTTTCACGCCTTTAGGTGCATCAGGCATATGGAAAGAGCGCCCATATTTTTACAGACCAATTGGCACTGGGTGGGTAATGTGGTCAGCATTATGCCAGCTGTCTTTACTTCCCCAGGACAACATCCTGGTACCCATTTTAGGCTGGGTCGACCTGCGACGCCCCATACCATGATAAAAATACACGCAGCCAGCAGTGGGTTTCGATCACTTTATGTTGGAATTATGAGTTGGACTCGCAACGCCTGAGCCACGGATGCCACCCAGGTATATAGGGCTAGACCTATGTTTCTGTAGATCAGTCGACATTCAATAGGTGGTGTGGTCAGCATTACAATGGCCTCCTTTACTTCCCAGGATATTACCTGGGACTGATTTTAGGTTGGGTTAACCTGGGAGCTAAGTTGAATTTGTGTGAGCTATGGGACAAAACATTTTGTATAAACTTCCTTATTTTTTCTTCTTCATTCATCCCCCACACCCTTTTTTCTTTAAAAAAAAAAAAACAATGAAAATTGTGTTTAAATTTATAAATGACACTTACATGTTCAGTTCTGCCGCAGCTCTGCACATGGCACACTGGAAGTTTAAACTTAAAAAGTATAAAGTTATATCTATACCAACTTACAACCCCCTATATTTTGGCTTCAGAGATAGACTAGCATACCTGAGAAGAATAAATATCTGATTTGTGTATTGTTCTACTGTGAAACACAAGGAACTTTTCTGTTGTTTGATTGTGTATTGTTCTACCATGTGAAACACAAGGAACTTTTCTGTTGTGTGATTGTGTATTGTTCTACCATGTGAAACACAAGGAACTTTTCTGTTGTGTGATTGTGTATTGTTCTACCATGTGAAACACAAGGAACTTTTCTGTTGTGTGATTGTATATTGTTCTACCATGTGAAACACAAGGAACTTTTCTGTTGTGTGATTGTGTATTGTTCTACCATGTAAAACACAAGTAACTTTTCTATTGTGTGATTGTGTATTGTTCTACCATGTGAAACACAAGGAACTTTGCTGTTGTTTGATTGTGTATTGTTCTACCATGTGAAACACAAGGAACTTTTCTGTTGTGTGATTGTGTATTGTTCTACCATGTGAAACACAAGGAACTTTGCTGTTGTTTGATTGTGTATTGTTCTACCATGTGAAACACAAGGAACTTTTCTGTTGTGTGATTGTGTATTGTTCTACCATGTAAAACACAAGTAACTTTTCTATTGTGTGATTGTGTATTGTTCTACCATGTAAAACACAAGTAACTTTTCTGTGTGATTGTGTATTGTTCTACCATGTGAAACACGAAGGACTTTGCTGTTGTGTGATTGTGTATTGTTCTACCATGTGAAACACGAAAGACTTAGCTGTTGTGTGATTGTGTATTGTTGTGTCACCAGACAAATATGACCTTTGTGGGTGTGGTTGGCATGTTGGACCCCCCACGTGAGGAGGTCAAACATTCCATCAAAGCCTGTCGGGATGCTGGCATTCGAGTCATCGTCATCACTGGTGACAATAAGGTGAGGAGTAACTTCGTTCAGGCTTGACTACTAATATGACAGAATGTACACTAGACATGACTACTAATATGATAAAATGTGCACTAGGATTTGACTACTAATATGATAAAATGTGCACTAGACATGACTACTAATATGACAAAATGTGCACTATGATTTAACTACTAATATGATAAAATGTGCACTGGGATTTGACTACTAATATGACAAAATGTGCACTAGGATTTGACTACTAATATGTCAAAATGTGCACTAGGATTTGACTACTAATATGTCAAAATGTGCACTAGGATTTGACTACTAATATGTCAAAATGTGCACTAGGATTTGACTACTAATATGTCAAAATGTGCACTAGGATTTGACTACTAATATGTCAAAATGTGCACTAGGATTTGACTATTAATGTGTCAAAATGTGCACTAGGATTTGACTATTAATGTGTCAAAATGTGCACTAGGATTTGACTATTAATGTGTCAAAATGTGCACTAGGATTTGACTACTAATATGTCAAAATGTGCACTAGGATTTGACTATTAATGTGTCAAAATGTGCACTAGGATTTGACTACTAATATGTCAAAATGTGCACTAGGATTTGACTACTAATATGTCAAAATGTGCACTAGGATTTGACTATTAATGTGTCAAAATGTGCACTAGGATTTGACTACTAATATGTCAAAATGTGCACTAGGATTTGACTATTAATGTGTCAAAATGTGCACTAGACTTTACTACATAAGTGACATAATGTGCACTAGATGACTATACATATGACAAAATGTGCACTAAATGACTACATATGTGACACAATGTGCACTGAATGACTACATATGTGACACAATGTGCACTGAATGACTACATATGTGACACAATGTGCACTGAATGACTACATAAGTGACAAAATGTGCACTAAATGACTACATATGTGACACAATGTGCACTGAATGACTACATATGTGACAAAATGTGCACTAAATGACTACATATGTGACACAATGTGCACTGAATGACTACATATGTGACAAAATGTGCACTAAATGACTACATATGTGACACAATGTGCACTGAATGACTACATATGTGACAAAATGTGCACTAAATGACTACCTATGTGACAAGATGTATATGTGACATGCTGTGTACTAGACCAGAACATACTGTGACAGTAACCACATGCACTTTTAGTGTGTTTATAACACTACAATGGTTTTTGTGTTTGTGTGTGAGTATGGGTAGAGCACCACATGAGTTACTTTGTGTGTGTAGTACCATGTGAATCTCTCTCTCTCTCTCTCTCTCTCTCTCTCTCTCTCTCTCTCTCTCTCTCTCTCTCTCTCTCTCTCTCTCTGTCTTAGGTCTGTTTATTGGCTCGCTAGCCCAGCTGATTAAACCTGACTGCGCGGCGACTGGGTGACTAACACCTTGTGGTCCGGGTTCAGGCCCGGGGGTAGACAGAAAAGCCACATTTCTCTACGATTTATGAAGACTGAAGGGTTGTTAACAACTCATGGTTTCTGGATAATTTTTAAATAAAAATCTTTGCAAGGAATGGTCAGAAAACAATGCCTCCTAATTTGTATCTGTGTAGATACTGTATTGGTGTGCATTTGGTAAATTTAGTATCACCTGGCGGTCAGCATGGATGTTGTCATCAACTCAAATGTTGTGTAGATTAACTGTGATAGACGGATGGCCATCAGCCATTGCGGATCGACCTACTTTAGCTAGACAGTGCTAACATCCACTGTTGAATATCCATAAACATTCTTCAAACGTTCGTGGATGTGAATTGGAGTCTCGCCTTCAACATTAAAGAATTCTAAAACATTATGTTGTTTTAACCAAATATTTTTGCAAGCCATTTTTAAACCGTTGCAGTAGTGTCACCTGTTACTGAAACAGGATGGTAATGCTAAATACTGCAGAAAAGAGAGGAATCCAGTAAAATTCCCAAAATGCACACTTTAAAAAAAAAATGTTTCAACTGATTTACTGATTTCAGCACTCCAGGCGGATGCCATGCCTCGAGACCACACGTCCCCCTTTATGATGTGTTGTAATGTAGTCCCTAGTTGAGGTTTCCTCTTTACTTCAGACGGGTCACCCCACAAATCTCACAAGTCATCCTGTCCCGTTCAAAAATTTGTGAAAAAACAATTGGTCCACACAAAATCCAGAAACTTGCACATGCAGCAAATGCACAACACAGCCACTGTGAATGCCAAGACAAGCAGTCCACCACTGGAATTGCAGTCTGTCAATGATGGAAGTAGTCAGAACAGTTTGGCTGTACGTGCAAAGTATTATTGTATAAGGCACTTAGCCAGCCCAGACACAAACTTGCCATCAACATTTTCCTAATTGAGTCTTGTAATGTACGAAACTTGAAAGATATTTTTGTATCCTGCAGGCCACAGCTGAAGCCATCTGTAGAAGGATTGGAATCTTTGGAGAGAATGAATCTACAGAAGGCTTGTCCTACACTGGGCGAGAGTTTGATGATCTCAGTACAGAGGACCAGCGAGCTGCCTGCATGCGTGCACGTCTGTTTGCTCGTGTGGAGCCAGCGCACAAGAGTAAAATTGTGGAGTATTTACAGAGTGAAGGAGAAATTTCGGCCATGGTGAGATTCTTCTCTCTGTGTTACTTTCTAAGAGATATTAGTCATCGAATTTAGTATTAGTAGTAGTATAATTTTATATGTTTAAGTACTTGGATACCTTGATAATATCAGATGAAAGATGTATTAAAGAAGTTAAATGTAGAATAGTTTAGGCAAAGGCAGCATTTTACCAAGTTAAGAATATTTTATGTAATCTTTCTTTGTCAGTTGAGCTATATAAATCCCATCTTGATATACGGAAGAGAATCATGGACAGTTGATAAATTAATGAAAACTTATTTGAAGCTGCGGAGATGTGGTTTTATAGACGAATGATGAGAATACCCTGGACAGATAAAAAGAGTAATGAAGATGTCTTGAAAGAAACCGACTTACAAAGAGAACTAATTGTCCACATCAGAAAGAGACAATCTACATTCTTTCGTCATGTAATAAGAAGGAGAAAACTTGTGTACATCATGACAGTAGGAAAGTTGGAGGGGGGGGAGGGAGGCAGATGGAGACCGAGAGAACAGATGCTGGACAGTTTGACATCATGGCATGGAGGATCATCTGTGTCAGAGTTGATTGAAAGTACACGAGACAGAGCATTGTCGATAGACATGACTACCAAAGCCACAAGACATGGACTTTAAGAAGAAAAAGAAGACCTAGTAGAATAGAAGTAGTAGGAGGAGCAGTAGTAGTACTACTAGTAGCAGTGTAATTGTAGTAGCTAAAGCTGTTACAGCAGCAGTAATATTAGTTGTAGTATAAGAAGTAATAGTGGTAGTATTAGTAGTAGTTATAGTTGTACTAGTAGCAGTAGTAATAGTAACAGCAGTAGTAATAATAGTAGTAGTTGTAGCAGTAGTTGTAGCAGTAGACACATTAGTAATAATAGTATAGTAGTTTTAATAGTTAAAAAAAAAAGTTAAAAGCCCTCTTTCACAACTTTAGGCAAATAGGGCTAACCTATATTTTATAGACTAATCGGCACTTGGTGGGTAATGTCATCAACATCACGCCAGCCACCTTTACTTCCCAGGACTGCACCTGGTACCCACTCAAGGCTGGGTCAACCTGGAAATCAAGGTCATTTAAAAAAAAAAAGGTCAGGCTCTGTTAGGACCTTCCTGTCCGCAGGTGAGCATCTATCTAGCTGCTATACCACAATCTCTCCGAGTGTTAGTAGTAGTTAGTGTAAACCCATAACCCACAAGGAAAGACCAGATCATCATCATCATCATCATCATCATCATCAGTTTTTGTTATGCCTAGTTGGCACATGAGGCTTCAGAGAAGACTTTCCATGCTTTCCTGTCCTGTGCAATTTTCAGTGCAGTTTTCCATGTCAAAGATGCTGCATTGAGGTCACTTACCATCGTTCATCTCCATGTTGTTTTTGGGCGCCCCTGTTTTCTCTTTCCCTCTGGTGTCCATGTGAGAGCTGTTTTGGCGGGTGTATCAGGATTCATTCTCATAACGTGGCCAAGCCATTTCCATCTTCTCTTGGTTATCATACTGTCTAGAGTTTCTTGGTTTGTGACTTGAAGTAGTTTAGTGTTTGAGAAAAGACCAGATAAGTGTTTCATAATTATGTGTATCTGTAACATCAGCTACCGCATCATTTTTGTTGTTGTTGTTGTTATTCAGACAGGTGATGGTGTCAATGACGCTCCGGCCCTGAAGAAAGCTGAGATCGGCATTGCCATGGGTTCCGGAACAGCAGTAGCCAAGAGTGCTGCAGATATCCTTGCCTGACTGTTTCTTAACTCCTCAAGTCCCAACTAATGCATGGTGTATGATGGCTTCTTATCACACACACCCACATGCATTCCTACCATTTCATAATGTCTTCATTTACATCTGACTCCAACATACTTCTTCTTCTGTGTTCATCCATAGATGTGATTGTTTTGTACCCGTTTACATCATAGCTGCTATATTTGGACCTTTTGACCAAGACATCCAACTTCTGCAGGAATTTGTTGACTAGTGCACTCATTGTTTTATAAGGTTCGTTTTACCTCCCTCCTTCAGCAACTACCGAGACCCCTTCTGGTACTAAGTTCAAATTACAGTGGGTACCATGAGTATGGAAAATCTTCAGTCGTTGTGGGGGATGGAGATGGGGGTACATGGGCTTGTCCTGAATGCTTTGATGTTGAATATGTATCCAGACTGTTACTTAAATTTCCTGTGTGTTCTCTGGGGCCCCATTTTGGGAGAAAATAGAAATGACCCACTAACCTTCTAACAAGCGTGGCATAAAAGGTGACCAAGTGGTGTTTCCTTCAGGGGGTGAAGCACCTCTGCCTGAGAGCTGAGGAACCAACAGTCTGCCATATCTTTAAAATGGATATGAACACAAAACTCCTTTCTGGAACAAAACTGCAGTCCAGAGGTGTGAGGCAAATGACTTGACCTTTAGAGTGTGAGGCAAATGACTTGACCTTTAGAGTGTGAGACAAATGACTTGACCTTCAGAGTGTGAGGCAAATGACTTGACCTTCAGAGTGTGAGGCAAACAACTTGACCTTCAGAGTGTGAGGCAAACAACTTGACCTTCAGCATGTGAGGGGAAACAACTTGACCTTCAGAGTGTGGGGCAAACAACTTGACCTTCAGAGTGTGAGACAAACAACTTGACCTTCAGCATGTGAGGGGAAACAACTTGACCTTCAGAGTGTGGGGCAAACAACTTGACCTTCAGAGTGTGAGGCAAACAACTTGACCTTCAGTATGTGAGGGGAAACAACTTGACCTTCAGAGTGTGGGGCAAACAACTTGACCTTCAGAGTGTGAGGCAAACAACTTGACCTTCAGCATGTGAGGGGAAACAACTTGACCTTCAGAGTGTGGGGCAAACAACTTGACCTTCAGCATGTGAGGGGAAACAACTTGACCTTCAGAGTGTGGGGCAAACAACTTGACCTTCAGAGTGTGAGGCAAATGACTTGACCTTCAAAGTGTGAGGCAAACAACTTGACCTTCAAAGTGTGAGGCAAACAACTTGACCTTCAGCATGTGAGGGAAACAACTTGACCTTCAGCGCATGAGGCAAACAACTTGACCTTTAGAGTGTGAGGCAAACAACTTGACCTTCAGCATGTGAGGGGAAACAACTTGACCTTCAGCATGTGAGGGGAAACAACTTGACCTTCAGCGCGTGAGGCAAACAACTTGACCTTTAGAGTGTGAGGCAAACAACTTGACCTTCAGCATGTGAGGGGAAACAACTTGACCTTCAGAGTGTGAGGCAAACAACTTGACCTTCAGAGTGTGAGGCAAACAACTTGACCTTCAGCGTGTGAGGCAAACAACTTGACCTTCAGAGTGTGAGGGAAACTAACTAACTAACTAGATTTAAAGAAAGAGAAAGCCTGTTGAACGAAATAAAAACAAGCTGGTGAAATCGTTTAGCCACAATAAACAACATGACACACTTATAAAAAACCATGAATGAATGAATCAATCAAGAGTTGACAACCCTGCACTCTGGACATTCCCACACATGCTCCGTCTCCTTCTTCAGTAGCCAGCGAAGAGTGGACACGCTAACAGTACCAGTTGCAGCCTGATTAAAAGTCTCCCTTTATTTTCCTCTCAGTGTCGGACATCTTCCTGTTCCCGTGCGCACACCCCACTGAATTAGCATGTCAGTGTATGAATATTGATATATGAATTCTCGTTCTGTTCTGTTGCACTGTACACTTGATCTCAAAGAGCCTTCACCACTTCCGCTTTATCATAATGTGGCTCACTGCCAAGAGGAGTCAGTCTGCCTGCTTGCTCATTACATATAAAAACCATTGTCATCTTCATTAGGTGCCTTGCCAACTGTTGTGGGCGATCATGCCTCTCCACAATCTACGATATCCTGCAGCATGTATCAGTTCGTGTGCTGATACACCTCCATGCCATGCAACAAGACTGTCAAGAATCTTCTCTGGTTGTCTTCCCCTATCTCTCCTTCCAAAGATCTTTCCAGTGGTCACAACATATTCCATTTTTCCCCTTTTCATAACATGGCCGACAAATGATGACTGTCTCCTTCTGATGTCTGTGATAAGTTGTCTTTAGGCTGCTCCCTATTTCAAAACCTCTTGGTTGCTCTTTTTAGCTGTCCAAAACCATACCAGAGTAAAAGGTTGAAGAAAAAGTTAGTTCTCAAAGTTTACATGAAAGGTAGTATACACGAGCGGCTTAGTTTTAGAATTTGATATTTTAAATGGTTGTTTCTGGAGGGGAAGTTACAAGTGGTTATTTCTGGGATTTCACATTTGAAGTAGTTGTTTCTGGGATTTGATGTTGGATATGATTGTTTCTGAGATTTGACATTACAAGTTATTTCTGGGGTTTGACACAAGAAGTGGTTGTTTATGGGATTTGACACTAAAAGTTATTTCTGGGATTTGATACTAGAAGTGGTTATTTATGAGGTTTGACATTTAAAGATATTTCTGGGATTTGATACTAGAAGTGGTTATTTATGAGGTTTGACATTTAAAGATATTTCTGGGATTTGACACTTGAAGTGGTTACTTCTGGTACTTGACATTAGAGGTGTTTCTTTATGGTATTTGACATTAAAAGTTATTTCTGGGATTTGACATTAGAAGTTATTTCTGGGATTTGACATTAGAAGTGTTTCTTTATAGTATTTGACATAATTACAAGTTATTTCTGGGATTTGACATTAGAAGTGTTTCTTTATAGTATTTGACATAATTACAAGTTATTTCTGGGATTTGACATTAGAAGTGTTTCTTTATAGTATTTGATATAATTACAAGTTATTTCTGGGATTTGACATTAGAAGTGTTTCTTTATAGTATTTGACATAATTACAAGTTATTTCTGGGATTTCACATTTGAAGTGATTGCTTCTGGTATTTGACATTAAAAGTTTTATCTGGGTTTTTACATCAGAGATAGTTAATTTTGGGATTTGGCATCATTGACAGGATAGTCCTGTTGTTGTCTGTTGGTAGACGTCTGCCAGTGAAATTATTGAGTCCTTGACCCCAGTGCACAGATGATTTTGGCAGATGATAACTTTGCTACCATTGTTGCTGCTGTTGAAGAAGGTCGTGCTATTTACAACAACATGAAACAGTTTATCCGATACCTGATCTCTTCCAATATTGGAGAAGTTGTGTGGTAAGTACATATCTGTCTAATCTCTGCCAATATTGGAGAAGTTGTGTGGTCAGTGCATCTGTCTGATCTCTGTCAGTGTATGGAGAAGTTGTGTGGTAAGTACATCTGTCTGATCTCAGCTAATGTACGGAGAAGTTGTGTGGTAAGTACATCTGTCTGATCTCTGTCAGTGTATTGAGAAGTTGTGTGATAAGTACATTTGTCTGATCTTTGCTAATGTACGGAGAAGTTGTGTGGTAAGTACATCTGTCTGATCTCTGCTTATGTACGGAGAAGTTGTGTGGTAAGTACATCTGTCTGATCTTTGCTAATGTACAGAGAAGTTGTGTGGTAAGTACATCTGTCTGATCTATGCTAATGTACGGAGAAGTTGTGTGGTAAGTACATCTGTCTGATCTCTGCTAATGTACGGAGAAGTTGTGTGGTAAGTACATCTGTCTGATCTCTGTCAGTGTATTGAGAAGTTGTGTGATAAGTACATCTGTCTGATCTTTGCTAATGTACGGAGAAGTTGTGTGGTAAGTACATCTGTCTGATCTCTGCTTATGTACGGAGAAGTTGTGTGGTAAGTACATCTGTCTGATCTTTGCTAATGTACAGAGAAGTTGTGTGGTAAGTACATCTGTCTGATCTATGCTAATGTACGGAGAGGTTGTGTGGTAAGTACATCTGTCTGATCTCTGCTAATATACAGAGAAGTTAAGTGGTAAGTACATCTGTCTGATCTTTGCTAATGTACGGAGAAGTTAAGTGGTAAGTACATCTGTCTGATCTTTGCTAATGTACAGAGAAGTTAAGTGGTAAGTACATCTGTCTGATCTTTGCTAATGTACAGAGAAGTTAAGTGGTAAGTACATCTGTCTGATCTTTGCCAATGTATGGAGTAGTGTCAGTGCATAAACAATGCTGTTGGAGATATTAGTAGAAGCTTGATGCCCTCATGCCAGTTAGCAAGGCACTTGATGATGATGTTGAAAGATGATGGTAATAATGATGATGATGATTGTAATGGTGATGATAGTGAGGTATGACTGATGATGATAATTATAATGTTAATTGTGATAATGATGATCATGGTGGTGAAGATTATGATGATAATTATGATGATGGTGCTTCTTTTTCTTCTTCTTGGCTTTCTCAGGCTGTAAATTCCTGCCGAAAGTTCTGGATGTTCATCCACCTCTGGACTTTAGACATTTTCCAGAACCTGAGTGCTGTATGCACATCGGTTTTACAGGTCTGACTAATCTGTATGTAGACTGTTGGTTCCTTGCCTCTCAGGCAGATTCACTCCGACTTTAAAGGAAACCCCCAATTAGTCGACTCTTATGACATGTGTGTTGGGGAGGCAGTGGGTCTGTTCTTGTTTTCCCCACAATGGGGCCCCATAACCCATATGGGAATTGACGAAGCTAATATTGATAATGATGTTGATTCCAGTGTTGATCGTGATGGTGGTGATGATTATAATGAGAGTGAAGATGATCTTGATGATGACAAAGATGATGATGATGATGCCATCCACAGACTGTCTTCATCAAATCAATGACCTTTATTTCCCCCCA